TTAGCGCATGTCAGTGATGCATCAGACATCAGCAGATCTGAGAGACTGTCATGAATGCGTGACAAACCTGCGCTCATGGTGCTGATGTTATACTGAGGCTGGATGAATAAAATGGCTGTTTTCGCTGTTGTCTGAAAGAGAGAAGAGAGAGAGATTGATGTTCACTGAATAAAAATCAGCTTTCCTGCACAATGATAAGAAAAACACAGACACACGCATAGATCACACGGTCTATAATCATGTGCTTTCATACAGTTACAGCTGCATTTAGATAAGTTTAGATGTATTACTCTTTTTCTTAAAACATTTAAAAACATTGTTAGAGACCTCCTGATTGTGTATTTTATTGTATTTTAATTAAAAGAAAGACGACAATTAAACACAAAGACTCAACAAACCAGGGTTATTATAGCTAACTAAAACTTTTTTTTTTTGTATAAATAAAATAAACATTAACTGAAATAAAATATTAGTTGCCAAGGGAATATTTCATGTTTTCATTTAGTTTAAATAACTAAAACGAAAATGTATAAAAACTACACAGACGTTAAAAAAAGACAAAAGCATACAACTAAATTACTAAAACTTTAAAAATAAAAAAACAGAAAATATAAAGATAAAAACTAATTCAAAATAAATGTAATAATCCTTTAATTTAATAACTATCATATATCTATAATAGTCTCAATGATACTAAAAATAACATGCAACTAACAGGGGGGAAATAATGTAATATTTAAAGAAAAGTTGGATGCATTAAATTTTTTTTTAATAATTTAATAATTCATTGCAACCTGTTATACTTGGTAAATAGTGCTTATTATTTATTTACTACATCCTTATAAAATGTATAAAAATGTTTATTTAAATTTACAAAAAAAAACATTCCAATGTGAACAAGTATAGCTGCTGCCCATTTGACAAATAAAACTTTGACAAAATAATAGCTTCTTATAATAAATCTAGTGGAAGTGGTGTGCTCATGAATACTAGAAATATAATATAATATTATACACACACATACATACATACATATATACATATAATACAAATATTGACCACAGGATTGACATGCACATTGTGCAGAAAGCATGAAAACCAGTACTGGCATGTACAGTACGATTGCATTTTAGCAGTTTGATCCAAGTTCAACTGACTTTCCACTGATGTGCTTCTTAAAGTCATGCTCACAGAAGCGTCTGAATGAAACACAGATGTTGAGAGCAGCAGGTGTGTGAAACAGCAGATGTGAAGGGGAAACCCATCTGAACACAGATAAGATGCGTGCATGACAGAAGAGATGCATGAAATGAAGTTTTCTTCAGTGTTTCTGAAAGTTTGCTAGCGTTCAACAGGCTAATGCGACAAACCCGGGAAGACTGTTTGTCTAGAAACTTTAAATGCACATTTTCCTATTGTGATCACTGAATTATAAGCGACAGATGATGATGCACATGAAGTGATTTTAAAACCGATTCAAACTGGATTCTTCAGGAATGTCAATCAATCTGGGAGCGTGCGAGAGATTTGACGTGGCACTTCAGAAGAAACACGAACAGCATCACGAAACACATTCACCAACATAACACCTTGTTTTGTGTGTATATTTGACAAATTACACATTATATGCTTTACGAACTTTACGTATCTTCAAACTCAGACATCGGCCCAGGTGACAATGCTTTGAATAAAGTCGTGAAATATGCATTTCTTTTAATGCACTGAACTCAACAAGAGTGGTGTTTCATGCATACTTTTAATGTAGATGAAATGCATAAACTGTGTGTCTGAACTTACTTTTGAGTAGATGATGATTTCAAAGGCTTTACACATTCAAATAAAAGCGGAGTGTGTCAGATGTCGGACTGTTTTTAAAGTTGCACGTTTAATTTCGATGTAACAGTCAGAAGACAGAAAGAGAGAGACAGACAGAAAAACAGCTGGCTGAGACACAGACAATAAAAAAACCAGAATCCCAAAACTTTTGAACTCACCTCAAACATAAGTCCAATCAAAATGAAAATCACCAAACTAAACACAATGTCCGCGTGATTCTGAATGAGAAACTCTTGGCTGAAGAAAGGATAACTCTTGTTTCTCCTGCGAAAAGCCATTTTATAAGTTAGCGATTTTCAGCAGCGTTGCTTTTCCTCCAAATCTAAAACTTCCACGAATCACTCCAAACTTCAGCGAGCGCACTGCGCATGCGCGCTTTAGCCACGAACTGATCTAGAGCGCATGCGCAGGAAGAAGCTAGGAATGACGCGTGCGGGTAAAAATGTAGGAATTTCTTTTTTCTTTTTTTTCCCCACAAATTATTTTACATTCAAAACATAATAATTATTTTATTATTATATTATCATAATAACATTTACTGAACAGTAAATTTAGTCGTGCATTGCCATTCATTTTCACAATAGTATAAAAATTGCTTAAAATTACACGCTATTAAATGAAATCGGGCAATACATAACAAGCTATTTAATTTAATATTATTATATTATAATAATTAAATGACACATTAATTAATAAAAAATGTAAAACATCAATTTACCTAATCACAAACGACTGTGGTTGGTCTATACTGACCAGCGCTGAGAAAAGTAACACGTACCACGTGACAGCACAGCAAAGACTATGTGCCGCTATAGAAGCTGTTTGGATTCATTTACAGCTGAATAATGAAAATAAAACCTTTAAAAGCCTAACGTATCTGCGTTATTTCACTACCATTACACAAAACATCGTGCCTGTTATACTGTAGATTCTGTGTAGCAATGAATTTTTATTAGTTCAGTGCCTTCCCTTTGCTGTTTAATCTGATACTTCATTCTATTAATCATTGTTTCCACTGTGTAATGTATATATGTTTGGTATATTCAGCAATTTCCTGCGATTTTATTTATGATGGCTATTTCTTCTGTGCACAGCACAGATAAAAATGAGCTTGATGACATTTCACAAGTGGAGACATATGTGAGAGGCATATTAAAACAAGTTCATGACTCCTGTGAAGTTAATTTAATGGCTAAATGGAATTCACCAGAAGAGCAAACAATCCACATCCAGGAAAACCAAACAAACTTTCGTTCACATTATCTGCAAATCTTTATAATCTTATGGCTGAATTTGCTTGAAATTGTTGCAAATATTGACCTGTTAATGGCACTACTGTTTAAGCAGAGACATCCTTCAGATGCATGCAAATAATTATTAGATAGTACACACACTCTCAAAATGCCTTCATGAAAACAATGGAAAACACACACACACACACACACACACAGTGAGCACTTCAAACAGTGAAAAATCACTCCAGTGGATTATTCACTAAAATACCCCTGAAACATTGTATGGTCCTTGAGCCCCTGTTCAAGGCAAATGCATCGAATATACAACATCTTTATCTTCCATACGTTTTTTTTTTTAGATGTCATTTATACAGAATTTTAAAGATGAGCTCAAACTAAAAACAGTTGTGTTACAGTAGCACCATGCATCAGCCTTATAAATATTTCATAAATTCATGAACAAGTCAATGAATAATAAAATACAAAATGAATGAAAATATATATATATATATATATATATTCAATAAATAATTGATATTACCGTAGGGTTAAGGTTAGTTTTTGAAACCTGAAAAGTACAAAATTGTGAAAAACTATAAACAAAATGACCGATCCTTTGAAAGGCAAAACCAAAGATTTGTGGATAAGACAAGGTGAGAAATATCCAAGATACAAATGACAGAAGTACCAGCAGAAAAGATCAAAGAGCAAAATTCTTATGCAAGGAAGTGGAGCAATCTGCCATTACAAAACCCTAATTAAATTATCTGCTAATCTACATATTCAGAGTCCGATCATGTTCTAAGATGAGTTTTGTTTCTATTTATGTCTGTATCAGGCACTATATGCCAAAAACTGATAATCCAGACCACAGACCTTCAGAAGAGTGGATTTACATCACAGTCTGAGAGGATATGACTTACACTGAACACCTGCAGCTCACAGGAAGATTGTGTTTTCGGCTCAAACCAACAGCATGTGGATTTTTATTGGTTATGTTCAGAATGGCTTACTTCCATACCTGCAGTAGACTATACAGTACAAAGTATGTGAATTTTCTATATGCATGAAATACACACATGACCTTTTTATCTCCTCTTTGAATAATTTGTTTGGACTGACAACCATTTTGTCAGATAACTGGATTAAAACTGTAAAAATAACCATTCTTATTTCTTAGATGATAACTAGATGCTGCTTGGTTAATTTAACATGCGATGTGATGAGGTCATGTGATACTGTAACTTATTGTTTCTCACTTCATACTATTTCACATACTTATTAAAAAGTAGAAAGTATATACTGTGCAGTGTTCCATTCTGAACATAAACAGAGAGACTAAAAACAGAAACAGAATTGTAAACATTCACAAAAGTTTTTGTTCCTTCATACAGTATGTTTAAATATTGTACTCAATTCTAATGTCTTAAAATCATATCCAGGTTCAAGTTTCAGCTGCTTGTATTTTATAAATGAATGCCCCGTTCACACTGACAGTCAGGAAGCAGCTGTATGTATACTGTATGTATGTGTGTGTGTGTGTGTGTGTGTGTATAT